TTCCGCTAAGCTCTACGACGCTCCGTTTTCAAACGCCAAGGGGGGGTCGCACCAACCCCCCCTGCATGGGCGAAGGTGGCAGATCGCCGTTTACGGGCGAGGGTTAAGTCCAGGTTCAAAGTGCGACGGACGCTCGATGTTTATGAGCCTCCTGACGTGTATGGTTGCGGTTGGTGGCAGGCCGTAGCCAACCGAACTCATTGAGGGAACCGGCCGTGCGCGACTATGTGCATTTGGACTAAATTCTGCCATAGACCAGGAATTGCGCGATCGGAGGGTAGAGCGCAGGGCCAACGAACAAGCTCTGCTTAACTGGGGCTCTGTCCTGTCCTAAGTCCTTCCATTCAAAAGGTTCGGACGGTTTTTTAAATGTCAGGTCAATGTCAGGTGAAGGTTAGCTCAGTGTACCGCGTCTGATGCACTCAAACTTGTTGTTCAGCTTACGCCGATTACCTACTACGTTTTAAGAAAAACATCAGATGTTAAATAGGAGCGTACAAAAGATATAATTTGCGGTCCATCTTCTAAAAGACGTTTTATTTGCGTGGAGGTTTTCTCATTTTGTTCCTTCCTCGGTGGTTTTCTTGATGTTAGTACCCTGTGTCATTCCCGCAGAGGGCTGTTTTTTAAAGCTGTTGTCTCATTTTGTTGTGTAGCTCTCTGCCACTCATAGTTGAGATCTGAGTGTCATTAAATGTAATACATGTATTTCCTGAGATCAGCAAAGTCAGGCAGTGCATGGTAGGACTCGTGTAGCCGCTTACATTACTGCTACATACGCGTCACGCGTGTCATGAATCGCTAATGTCAACTCTATTTTTGTTGTTGACAATTGACAAATATTTAATGCATTTTGCATTTGATGCATGTGTTCGGAAAAATATTATGTGCAGGTTCAAGATCAATCAATATACGTCTTCTGAGGTAATCATCATAGCCGTTTGAGCAGAGGTTCGTCAAAGCCTTTCTTGTATAACAACTCACATGTCCCGCGCCTACATGCAGGATGAGTAATGGGTATTTAGCCCACTGGAAACTAGAGGCAACTGCAGTTCTTATCGGTGCGGCAGTTTGTTGATGGTTATTCCAGCTACACGATACGTAAATGCACTTTTACCTACTCATTTCTAATTAGTTTAGCTAGTCTCTGCCACCTGCAATATTCTACCGTCCATTCCATCCTTACACCGCAAAAAATGCAGACGCCTTTTTACATTGTAAACAAACTCACTAGCGAAAGAAACGGTAGTGTTCACAGCATGGAGGCGCAGGCGGCTTAGCGCGTACGAGCAGCCGATCAAACACCTGGGAGGTAGGCTGTACCGCAGCACCTGAGTGCCGTGCGGGACAGTATTCGGCGGACGTAAGATACGGCAATAGCCAAACGCGCTTCAGCGCTCGATTGAAGCCAGCTCGCTTAGCATTTCTAATTAGATTTTGCGTTGTTCATCATGCCAGATAAATAATTATACACGGTCCGTCAATATCTTATTTATTTAACCCTATTCCTGGCGAGGGGGCCTCAGGAGCCCCCCCTTAGGTTTTTTGGTTATTTCTCCCAAACGCGTTGAGCTAGGAAGCTCAAATTTTCTGAATTTTCCTTAAAGGCTTCTACGCAACATGTCTGAAAATTTTGAGTTGATCTGACCTCAGGTCAGGTCACCAGAGGCGGTTTGGTGACCCTACCTCAGAAAAGTTTGCAATCACGCCAGAGCTAGAGTTTTTGACCGATCAATTTCTTCTCTTCAGGCTTTAGTTAGGGTACCAGTGTGTTCAATTTGTATATCTCGGAATTTTGATATCGGTGACCTAAGGTCAGGTCAGTTTCGCGACCTCCCCATTATAAGTCAATGGGGGAAAAATCAACTCCCTGTTTTTACCACTAAAACAGGTCGGAATGGCCCCATATACCATACATGACTTCATATACGATCAACCTTCACTACCTTGAGGTCTGTTTTGCTGTTGGGCAGCTGTGAGGTCATGTGACGTCATCAAAGGTTACCAAAGGTTTTTGGCCAATAACGCCGTACAGGAACAAGATACAGACGCGTGGATGGTCTCATTGTGTTCAGCTCGTCAAGACGCATCGAATGATATACATTATGACCTCGAGGTCACGTGACCTGAGGTCAACCTTTGACCTTGACCTTTCGAGGTCAACATATATATCATTCGATGCGGATTGACGAGAGGATCACGATGATGCGCTTAGTTTGTTCCTATCTTGACTAATTCGAAAGTTATTCGAGAAAAACTCTCTCCATATCTAGCGCCGCCATTTTGACTTTTTCGACCCCTGTGACGT